CATCTACAATTCTCTCCTTTCCCCCCACCACTCCAACAAGTAGCGTAATATAAAAGGAACAGCTCGGAAGAACAGCTCAGTTTCAAGCTGCTTCTCACCCTGATAAAGTGGATTGCAAGGTTCATAAAATGTTGGCATTTCAAGACTGGATCTGAACACGAAGGAAACTCTCAAAAAGCATAATCTTTATACAGAAAGCATCAGCGGAAGAATATTAACTTTCAAGAATATAAACTTTTTCCTTTAGCAAAATTGCTTCCAATAAATAATTTATGCGCTTATTTATTAACTTCAACCTGCTCTCCTTCAAAAACTACTTAACTAGAAAATGGCGCGACATATCATGAGGCCCTGACCGTGTAATTTTAAGGCATGCCTTGTTAAGGCCATCCTGATTAGGTCCTCATCATTACAAAGTCGGGCTAACCATAGTACAGCTGGAAGTTGTAAATAATTTAATCAGGTCCTGATAAGAACTTGATATACATGATTGTATATTGCCTTATCGGCAATATATTATATTTAAATAAATATATATTTAAATATTTAAATATAATATTTAAATATATAAATAAAATAAAAAATAATTTTAAAAAATAAAAAATAATTGATAAAAAGAAATTAAATAAAATTAATTTTTCTTTAAATTAAAATATTTTCTTTATCATCAATAGCATGAAAAACAACTGATGAAAGATCGAGGGCATGAAGATCAATTAAGGAAGTAGAGCATCACAAATTGTGATAATCATTTGTTATAAGGAGCATATTCAGAATATACATAAGTATAAAATAAAACTTCCATTATGTGCATTCTATACAAATTATTTACACTAAGAATCCATTTCTGACGTGTTCACATATTATTTAATAATTTGTTATTATTTACAATTATGGATACTAAAAGATTACGATGAGTATGGTGGTAATTCTTTTATTGAAGCAGAGTCTGAAGGATTCATTTGACAAGATTGAAATATTAACTGAGGTACTTGAATAAAAATTTATTACTATAAATACATATATGTGTAATAAGTAATAATAAGATTCTATAAGAATAAAACAAAATAGAACAATTGAAGAGCTAAGAGCCAGTTATGTAATAAAGAATGTTTAATTTAAAAACATAAAAATAAAAATAATTACAAACGTTTCGACGCCGATCGGATCATTCTCAATTACAATAAATACATTATAATTATAAAATTATTGGAAATCTATAAAATATTGCTTCGTAATAGTATTCTCCTTACTTTATTTCCTTACTATAATATTGCAAGTCAATGAATTAAAATAGTCAAATTGATCGTCGAAAAATTCATAGCAGTAATGCAGTAATAATCTTATTAAATGAAATGTTGATAGTCAATGAATAAATAAACGCAAAAAAATTCATCGTGGTGATACACAGTAGTTGTTTTCTTAAGAATTCGTCGGAGCAAGATTGCAAATGAAGTAAAGAGCAAGTGATTTCGACGATGTCGGATAATGTAATAACATTTGTGTATATTATCATATACATATAATATTTGTGTATATTATCATATACACAATATAATAATCATATAATAATCTAATTTCACAAATTCTTAAGTTTACGGTGAATAAACTGAACTGAACAAATGAAAAGAATGGATATGGCATTGTTCGTGGATGTATCGCGTTGGTCCGTATTTAGAGGACTGATTGGATTCTTTGAGGAGAAACTTGTAACATATATATAAATTCTGTTTTATGATAGATATAATTATTGATATCCTTGACGATTCAGTCATGCATAATAATAATTTGTAATATAGCATTTGTCTTATCATCTTCGTAGGAGATGATAAGATAAATGCTATATTACAAAACTTAAAAATATATAAACAAACATCTAGTGTAAAAATTGTTAGATATGATTGGATCGAAAAATGTTTGGAAAAAGCCAATTGCTGTAACATTACTGATTACCTGATTGATTAATAAAAGTGTTGATTAATAAAATATTGCTAAAATATGGTTTTATTCCCTCTTCTTTTTTGTATCTAAAATTATTAAGATTCTAAAAAAAAAACATTAACATCTTTAAGTAATCTTTTGCTCTTAATTTTCCTTTAGGCTGATCGTCCGAACATACAAACCCCATCGTTCTTTGGAAATTATTCTACAGCTTCAGCTTAGCCGAAAGAATAATATTCACAAATATAAATGAAACTGTGAACATATCTGCTACAATTTTCAATGAATTTGTGAAACTGGATCTTAGTCCAGTGAGTATAAATTTCCTCATAATATACAATATTTTTGCGCGTTAATGAATCCGAATGTGGCCGCAGAATTTGCGTAGTACGTCAAGTTTTCAAGATAAATAGGGTTTTATGTCGAAAAAATAACGTTTTTGGCCATTTTTGACTGTTTTAAAAAATTACTAAAGCTTTATCAAAATTCATTCATAAAGTGATGATATTGATAAAAATTTTGATGAAACTGTGGTAACTTTTTAAAACAGCCATGAAAATGGCCAAAAACGTTATTTTTAGTACAGTACAGAATTGTGTATTTATGGTGTATAATAAGCTATCAAGAATAAAAAAAGCTGGTTTTTACTAATTATCACAAATTAATAAATTTTGAACGTTTTAAGACTATACAATTGCGACGTCGTATTTTAAGATCTTACATGTATAAAGAATTGTTATTGGACATATTATTACTGTCTATATTCATCGCACATAATGATTGGAAAAAGATTTCTAATTTTAGCATTTGCAGATTTTGTGGAAAATGTCTTACAGAAAAATATTAGGTGTTGGAATTAATTCGTAGCGTTTTTAATGAAAGAATGTTATTTATTTCACATGAGCATTAAAAAATACATTAATGAAAGTACTTCCCATCACTTGTAAAACGCTACGAATTAATTCCAACACCTAATACAAAATAAATTGTTCACTTTGTTTTATTATTGATACATTATTTTGAATAATAAAATCATCTAAAAACATACAAAATATACGGAAGGATTGTTAATCCTTCAAAGATAACGCCAAAACCTGTAACACAGTTAAAATTAAGAGGTATTCGCAAATTGATTTACAAACTAACGAAAAACTGTGAATACAGTTTTCTTTATAAAAGTACATAGATTCAATTTTTTAGATTTACTTTTGCGATTTTATTTTTAATATATATAACATTTCTGAAATTGTATGTCAATTTATTTATAAAATTGTGTATTTGTAAAATTAATTGAATATAATTATTACTTTTATTAATAATATAAATTTTTAGGCGCGAGTGCGCGCGCGCGCGCGTGTGTATACATGAAGTTCTTTTATTTAAATAGAATATTTATTTATTACTATGTACTATTATGTATGTTGCAAGTGTTAATTATTGTGTTTTTAAAAAGGCTTATTTTTATTCTCTTTGTGAAAAAAAATACTATTGATACGTATTGACATGAATGCGATCTTTTCTTTGAATTATTAATTGTCAAAAAGAGAAAAAGAAAGATTAACTTTTGAAGCAATGCGAAGATGACACATATATTATGCCTGCGCATAAGTTTTTAGGATTTTATAAGTGATTTCGCTCATTTAAATTAAAAAAAAACAAGATATATTAGGTGTTGGAATTAATTCGTAGCGTTTTACAAGTGATGGGAAGTACTTTCATTAATGTATTTTTTAATGCTCATGTGAAATAAATAACATTCTTTCATTAAAAAACGCTACGAATTAATTCCAACACCTAATACTTTTTTAATCAAAGTATTTTCCTTTATTTGTGTTATAACTCTAAACCATCTTTTAGGCAATAAATGAATTTCTAGAATGAAGAAAGATAGATATTTTGATGCAATAAAATCGTCAATTTGTCTCCATACTTTAGCTTTATTTTTAAATCGCATAATAGAAAGATATATAGTTTTGCATTAATTGAAATAGGTAAAAATTGGAACCGACAAGGTCTGGACTTATACGTTGGACTTTCAATTCAAGTTCTAATAAAATGTTTCTAATCGCGGAAGTAACATGTGGCCGAGCCATGTGTCACAAAGCAAAATAACTTTTCGATTTCCTTTCCAAGTTCAGAGCCTTTTTATATAAATTTCTTTGCTCAAACGGTATAATTAATTAGAATGCATTGCAATAATCGTTTCGTTCGATTTGAGAAACTATTTAAGAACACGTTCTTCTAATCCCTAAATGTAGAATTTCATGACCATAGATATTATGCTATCGAAGAAAACTATTTTGCATTTAATTATTGCTTTTTGAGTTTATTTAATTTTAATTTTAATTATTTTATTAGGGTTACTATAATATATCTATTTTTTTTACAATATCATTAATTACTATTTTTCACAAAAATTTTTTTTTGTCGGGCATGCAGATGTTGTTGATTAACACATTGAATAATTGAAATCGAATTTGTACATAAGAGAATCAATCAATTAGAATTCTTCTTTTCCTCCCATTTCGTATAAAAGAAGAATTTTGATTGATTGATTTTCTTTTGCATTATGTGTTATATGGTATATGTTATGCAAAAGTTTGTGCTACGGCTATAAACGTATGATTAACAATAAGCTATTTCATCAATGCTACGACAGATGACTGAGCTGCATTTTTAGCGAAAAAAGTATTTAATTCTTTGTCTCCATTTTTTGCTGTGACGTAATTTGTTATTAAGATTATTTTCACTTCGAAACCTTTGGAACCAAGATTGACATACGTTCAAATATAGTATGCTCCTAGGTCTCACATACTATATTATATTAAAAATATTTAGGGTGTCACACGTAAATTTAAATACAAGTTATCTAATAATACAAATGTAAAAAAATTGAAAAATTTTATCTATTTAGATTTCAGCGCTATCTATCTTTGACCCCAGAAACTTACATATAGTCCCATATATATAAGCTTGATGAGTTGCATAAATCAGTCTTGTTCTTGGCCTTTGTCATACATCTAATAAGATTGTTATATAATATTATAATTCTAGAAAATATTATTTCACAAAAGGACCATTTTGGTTTAAAACATGTTTGCTATTATTTTTACTCTTGCACTTATAACAGTACATGTTGGGGCGGAAATACGTAAGTAAATAACAGATATTTATTAGTTACTGTTTTATTAATTATCTTTGTTACTGTATATGCAAGATCTTATATCATTGAAAAGAAGGTTATTATGATTTCTTTCTCCGTCCACAAAAGTTCAAACGAATAAAATATTTTCAAATTAGGTACTTTATTTTAATGTTTAAATGAAAGATTTTTAATAATTTTAATTTAAGATGTAAAAACATTACGACAATAATTATTATACAGTACAATATATTAGCAATGCAAATTGCGTATTTAGTACATGCATCGCATGTAGAATATGCGTTAGATAGTAATAATGCGAAGGACATATGTGTGAAAAAGAACTTCAGATGAAAAGAAGCCATTTTCATCATAGTTCTTGGATAATTAATCAAAGCACAGTGGTATTAACTTCTACAGTAATTGCTTGTCGAACATTTATCTACGAATTTAATGGAATGGCAATATAAGAACGTTTTTATAATGAATACATAAGAATTTTTTTAATTTCCGCAATATAACTTATGTATCTTGTAGACTTGATTTGTTATTAAGTGCAATCGCTTGTAACAGGTTTATTAGTGTCGACAAATTAAAAGAAATATAATACGGAATATTTTCTAATATCTAAACTGTATAATAAAAATATTAAATGAAAATTTTATGATTTAGATTATATTTGCAAATCTTTTATCTACTTATTTTATTATTAATTATCATCCTGCATTTTTCTCTTTTTTCTTTTTCCATGTTCTCTTTTAAATTATTAAAAAAGGTTATACATTAAGTTTTTAAAGATTATATTAATTTTATATTATAACGCGCAGTTTCATACTAGTGAAGGCATTAAAATAATATTGTGCTGCAGATTGTACATTATTTTGAAGTGTATTTTTACACATGATGTAAAATAACAGGTATAAAATTGCGCATAATGGCAATAGTAACACTGAAAACAGCCAATTGAATTTGAGCCTATGCACTAATTGCGCATCCGTGGAAATGTTACACCTGTTTTGTTACATTATGATTTCATCTTTTCTATATTTATGTGACTGGTAATTATCTAAAAAGTGTTTAATTAAGAAAAATTATGTAAACTTTTTATAGCCTCCTACATTCAAGTATGCGGCCGTAGAGATCCGAATCTTGATCAGTGTATCATAAATAACATCGATAATTTGAAAGGAAGGCTCTGCGATGGAATTCCAGAATTGGGCATTCCGTCAGGAAATCCGTATACTTTTGATGAACTACTCATTACAGACGGGCCTAACGCCAAAATTTATATTAGAGATGCAAAAATAATGGGAATGTGTGATTTTGTCGTAAAATCCTTTTACGCGGATATCGACAGACTCCACTTCGAAGCTGAAATAATATTTAAACAGGTCGAAATAAATACCACTTATGATTTTAACGTACGTTTATTGGTGCCTATTGCCTACAAAGGACCGATTTACTTAACCTTAGGTATGCAAAGGTATCTCAATGTATTAAAAAATAAGACAAAAAGGAACTTTAATATTTAATTTAATTTTTTAATATTTAAGTTATCTTTTTAATATTTAATTTAATATTTAAATTTTTTTATTTTATACCTTCATCGCAAATATTATATTATAATTTGCAGATAACGTAGGAGCAAAAGCAGATATAGATATAAATCTGACAACTAGAGACAGCAAAAGATATGTATATTTATCAAAGCTGAAGATCAATATTGATTTCAAAAATTATAACATTAAATATGACGTGGACAATTCGGATTTAGCACAATTCTACGAAATTATTAAGAATTTTGTAGGCAATAATCGAGAAGAGATTATTAAAATTCTTAAACCAGTTATAGAAGCGGAGATCTCCAGACGGATTATCTTGATTTCTAATAATATAGTTAAACAATTTACTTACGAAGAGCTCTTCCCCGATAGAACATAAAAATATAAAAATTGTCACGTTACTATATTTGTGATCAGGAACGGAGACTTTTGATTTTTCGGGATGTGGAGTACCTTAACCAAACGGGGGGGGATTTCAAAATAAAAATTTTATCTCTTTTATTGTATGTACGAAATATATTTCCATACATATATACCGTACTCTATAACATTGGCTCACTACATCTCCAATGTATGCCAATGTTTAACTAATGTTTCGCCAACGAATTGTACTACTCGGATAATCAAGTGCTGATTTTTTTGTCAAATTACTCAAAATTTTTTAAAAAATTAACATATAATACCCAGAATTCTGGAATTCTGGAATTGTGGAATTCAACACATTCTGGAGGATGTGGAAAACTCCAGATTCTTCATAAGAAAATCTCCGTCTATGTTTGTAATTCATTTAAAGTTTTAAAGAATAATTACTCATTATTTTTAATAGCGTAAGAAATGTACGTATATAAATATATATATATTAGAATATGATTTATTTTACTCTATCACTTTATAATAATAATAATTACATTGTATGACATATATAAAAAAATTATTTATAGCCCTACCAAAGGAATAAAAGATTTAAAATAAATTTATTTGAAATGATATCATTATATAGTATTAAACATAATATTGTTGTTTTTAGCAATATAGGTATTATTTATAATTACAAAGAATTTATTTTCTACAATTTATTATTATATTATTATGATATTATTGTACTGCATGAGGTACAACAAATTTGTCTTAATGAAAGAGTGCCTTAAATTAAATGTACCATTCGATTTTTTAAATAAATTAAAAGTATCAACAATAATAAAGTTGACCGTTGTGAGTATATTATCTAAATACGAAACGCCACTTGACAATCAAAGTTATATGTTGAACTACGATTAATTCGTAATACATATACGTACTCTTATTTAAATAAATTTATTTTAGAAATATAATTGCGCGCCGTCAGTTATAGTCAGACTTTAATGCTTCAGATTGTGTTGAAAATCTGAGTAATAAAGATGGAATTACATGCTCGATTTCTTGAATAACATCTATACAGTGCCTGCTCTGATGTATGCTAGAATTCGTTCATGCATTGAGTGCTGCATTCTGCATGTATATGATTTTTATGTTCATTATGTTTTACTTCATAGCTTATTTTCTTACATGCACCAATCAAAAGAAACAATTGTTAAACAAGGCGCAATCATATTTCTAAAATAAATTCATTTAGGTAAAAATATTAAGTTTTTATAGAACGACATAGGATTAAATATTATCTCTTCGTGAAAAAAGGTGCAATGTAGAAAATATTTTATGCATGAATATGTATAAATGTACATAAATATTCATAAACATGTATAATATATGAAATAGGTCTATATATATTCATCCCTTTTTCTAATATAAAATTACTTTTCTATGTAATGGAAATGTAATAATAGTAATGTGAAAAAATAATTAAAATAATTTTCTCATTGTTTGTTTTAGAAAAAAACATGTTTGGAAAAATGTAAAAAAATTGCTCATACACAATTGTGCATAATTATATATATATATATATATAATTATACGTAAGTAATTTTTTACATTTCTTTAAACTTGATTTTTTTTTAAACAAATATAATAGTATAAAAATTACTCTTTTAATTATTTTTAATGTTCTCACATTACTATTATTATTTCTATTACATTAAAAAGTAATTTTACAAAAGAAAGGACAACGTATGAACATGTATGGACATATTTATATGATTATACATATTTATGAATATTTATTTATACATATTCATACATATTCATTGCATGAACAATTTTTTACCGGGCTATCTAAAACATGATTGTGATTAATTTAAATATTATGATTGTTAAAGTTCATAAGTTACTTTACATTAAAATTGAAATGACATTAAAAAATACAAAGGAAATAAAAATTTAATAATTAATATTTTATATTGCGTCATTATAAAAATTGTATCAATAAAGACTTCACAAATTTTTTAATATTTTAATTTACTTTTCATTCACAAATACAGACTGTAGAAAAGAATTACATTTTGTTTTCATTTAATAAATATTGTATTTTTTATCATAATTCTGTAAAGAAAAGCATGATATTTACTGTGCATCGATAATATGTTTTCGCACAAACATGACATTATTCTACAAAGATATCAACTGTCGATTGAGAGTCAATAATAAAAGAATTGGAATTCAAGTGACGAGAAGAGATTTTGTATTGATCAAATATCATTTTGTTACTGAATTAGTCTAAAAATATATAATTTTATCTATAAAAATTAATGATGTATTGGATATCATAAAATTTCTGGATACCGAATACCGAATAGATATCTGGAAAAAATGTAACACCGGATATTAGGACAATTATCCGGCTGGATACTGCATATTTTCTGGATATCCAGTACAATTTTTCTATTCTATTTAAAGAAAGAAAGGAAAAAGAAAAGAGAGAAAAAAATAGCGGTAATAATTTTTTTATCTTTCCAACGTGAAAAGAGAAAGAAGAAATTGTTTTTATATTATTAGATTGAATAATTTCTACTTATTTATCTTTTTTTGTTTTATTTGAGATTTTATTAATTTAAACTTTTTAGTTTTCACCATACAGTCAATTTTCTATTGATTCTATACGTTTGCTAAAAAAAATTAGAATTATTTATATAAAGTCCTGATACTTGAAAAACTCATCTTCAATGGAAATAGATAAAATGTTAGAGATTGAAAATCTTAATTCTAGTTAAATGTAAATGATGATATGTATGTCCTTCAACTTTAATTGCAAAATTGCTTTTACATTACTAGATTGAATAGTTTATGTAATCTAATCGTTTATGATAAACGATTAAAAAGAAGAAAAATAAATTGTGTAAGAAATTCAGCTAAGAAAAATAGAATTCTGTATCAATGATACAGCCTTTCAATAATATAAATTTTAGCTGGATATATTAGCGGATACTATTGATATCCAGCTATCCGGCCAGCGCGGCGACGCCGATAGCCGGATAATAAAAAAGGTCAAATAAAATCAGTTCCAAATACTTCGGACATTCGGTACATCTCTAGTAAAAAATTCCTATATGTTTAATTTATGTTTATTAGTAATTTAATTATTTCTATTTTTGCGTTTGATAACGATAATCATAAAGGAGAATACCCATGGTATAGGAGGATTTCCGCCTCAGAGATGGAACCTCTGGAAACCCATAAATTCATTTAGGAGCAGCACAATTTGTTTTTACATGTAAAAAGTAACCGGAAGAAGATCGTTTGATCCTTGAGAGCGAGTATTTGAATTTTCCATTAATTTTCAGTATTCGCCGGGAAATCTAGCAACAGGAATATTGTTCCTGTTTTATTTTTTGGATGTTGAATAAATGGCTGATCAGAAAGGAACGAGTTTAGTTTATCTAACTATAATATGGATTAGCTCACAGTCATCAACAATAAAAGGAAAAGTAATTCAGAAGAGGAAGACAAGATTTGTAAGAAGAATATTTCTTTTGTTGCCTCGGAAGCTGACCAAATTGAGAGGAAGGCATTGCAGAAAAGATTCCGTCAATGGTAAACTTTAACACATCATTTTAACAAGAGGACAACGAAGGCCCGTACATACTTGTAGTACGGATACAACCGTCCGATCTCATGGACAATAACAATTACAACCGATCAAATAGATTGAGTCCATTTAAGGTAGGAAAATTAATTTGCAAAAAGTACAAAAGCATTTCATATATTTGTAGCAAATCTAAGGCTAGATTAAAAATTAAATTATCCTTCATGAAGCAAATCTCCTAGTAAAGGATAAGATTTTAGAAGATAACGGTTTGAAAGCTTTTATCCCCAGTTATAGATTATTAAGAAGAGGTTTAGTTAAAGACATCGACGAAGACATCTCCGAAGAAAAAGTCCAGGAATTTTTAATATCAGAATTTAAAGTTTTAAAAGTTAAAAGACTTAACAAAAGAAATAGAGATCCGAAAGACAAGAGAGCGATCCTAAATGGATCCCTAGTAGATCGATACTTTTTCCGGACAAAATTTACCGAAAAAAGTATATTTACACAAGATCAAGATTGAGGTAGAACCTTACTTGAGCTTCCCAACTATCTACTACAATTGCTTCAGGTTTGGTTACTCAAGCACCAACTGCAAAGGCAATGTTAAATGTAGCATGTGCGGTGAACTAAAGCATAATAAAAATTGCACTACAGACTTTCCAAAATGCGCTAACTGCAAAAGCGATCACATCTCTACAGATATGATGTGTATAATACATCGTAAAGAGTATGAGGTCAAAAGATTGGCTTACGAGAACATGGCTATGGGGGACGCGAGGAAGCTAACATTTATGTTAGCTTAATAACAGTTTAATAATTAAGCTTTATAACAGCCCCAAGAAGATTTTCAACTCGAGGGCAGAAGATTTCCCTATCTTAAAGGAGAAATTATTTACTTCATACAAGTCGTCAAGGGTCAGAAAAATCAACGTCAACCTATTGGGCAAAAAAGTTTCAACAAATAGTTCATAAATAGCTTCCAGCCAATCAGTTCCATAAGATTCAAAGTGCTAACTGCGAGGATTTTATTGGCAACAGAGATTTACTTCCATCTTCAAATGGGCTGGCCTTATCAAAGGAATCCAAGAAAAATCAGAAGTTCACTGTTTCCATCAATGAAGAAGCCGCGAGCTATAATTACCAATCGGCTGAGGAAATTTCAATCTCACAAGAGAATCAGGGCCTGAATTATCGTCTAATCCTTAAGGATTTAACAAATAATTCTGAACCTAAGTCAAGTAAATACAAATCAAAACTCTTAGTAATGAATTTTTAACTCTTAAGAAATCTCTCAAGATTTATAAAAAATCGTCAAATTTAAAAACAAATCTTCTAAATTTTTCTGTAAGGAATTAGTCTAAATAATAAGTTAAATATGAATAGACATATTACAAGAAAGATTCAGTTGTTATTGAACTTTCTTAAGAGATCACATTAAGCGCCATGAGTACCAAATACGCATGAAGCTGTGTTCCTCTGCACTCACTCAAAAATGTCACAATTAACGGCTGCTAAATATATGAAAAAGTCGAAATCATTCGTACAGAA